TGACGTGATATGTCTAGTATTAGTATCGAAAAAAAGGCGCTCAATTGCACAGGTAGTTATATATTTGACCTGTTTTTCAAAGTTTCCCTTTTTTCCGGTTTTTCCCTTTTTTTAAATTCTATGTGCTCTGCAGAGGCTGAGTCTCGGAGGAACGGTGATTCACTCCTCAGAAGCTCAGCCTTAGTATAGCCTAGATGACCATAGTGCCCTGCGCTAGTGCCTCTGCTAAAAATGAATGTCATATGAGGACAGCGAATAACCATAATATCGAACTTTACATCAGTTTGGGTGGAAAAGCTGATAGCACCAGATTGTTTCCCATTGGCACCAGTTGGCGCCGGCATCTACAGTGAATGTCATATTCCTAATCAGAGCAACAAAAAGCCCTAGTATGCAACTTTGTCTGAATTTTGGTGAAAAAGGTAGTGGTGCCAAGTTGGCGCCAGCACCAATCTGGCACTTACTGACACCAGCGTGAGAATGAGTGTCATATTCGCAATCACGACGTCGAATAACCCCACTACAGAAGTTTTGACAAATTTCGATGAAAAAAGTGGTATCACCAAATTGGCCATATTGGCGCCAAAGGGCATCAAACAGTTCCGGCAACAGAAAGCAACAGAAAAGTACGTCATGCTCATTCATGATCAGGGCACTGAGTAACCCCTACCGGCAATTTTTAGCAGAAATTTTTCTAGAGGTTTTGGGCTCAGGTGCTGCTAGTTGAATCGCGCCTAGGACCCTTATAAGCGCAGATCTCCTATTTGCTTAAATTAGTAGAGGTATGTAGTTGCTCCACTGAGAGAGTTCTTTTAAAAAGCCTGAACTGTTTCTGAAAAATTCCATGAAAAGCCCGTCCGCCACATATGGTGGACATGGTCCGAAGTGGACATTTCGGTGTCCACCACCAGTGGCGGACATTGTCACGAATGGGTTAAGGAGGTTGACGAGTAGGGTCACATCACAGTCAACACTGGAAGGCGCAGCTTTCGCAAGGAGCAGCGGCGGCAGATATTGGAGGCAGCAGACCAGGTCAGAGTCCAGAAGGGAGGCACCAGTGAAGGCAAGGTTCAGGATTCGGTTGGAGGCGGCTAACTGTAGTATTTCAGATCGCTGAAGAAGGTGCTAGGCACCGAAATATTCGAAGGAAGGAACAAAAACAATAAAAAATTTTTTGCGAAAACTTTTGGATTCTTTCGGATCTAGTTTTTGCAATGAAATTTTGGCGCCTCTTTTATGTGTTCTACATTCAGCCTTGAATTCGGTTCAAAAAGTCGCGAATTTAAAACGAAACAGTCACATATAAAGACAGATGGCGATATTTCTCCAGGCTTTTGGGAGAGGCCATCTTGCCGAAACGTCGGGTCGAATATAAGGTCCCACTATAAAAACATGTCTGGCGAACAGTAAAACAAGTTACGTTTGGATACTATGTAGGGCTCTCTTTGAATGCACCAGCTTTTTGATCAAGCCGCAACTCTAACAAGAAGGTAATAATTCCCGAATTATCCGCACAAGTTCTAGGTTCTCGCTTCCAAAAGCGCGCACTAAGGAACTCACAAAGAAAAGCTTAAAAAAGACAAAGAGAACTCACGTGATCTACACATTTCGAGAAGTAGCGTCTGTGGTATGAGGCAGTACGGTACTGTTCATTCTGCAAATGAAAATTGAGATGGTTATACCACAGAAAATCCTTGAAAAAAGGAAATTACCCACTTTCCGAAGATCGTCTGGGTTTCCTACTTCTTCGCCTGTTATGAACAAGCGATTTGCACCGTAAACAGGTTCCGTCGATTCCCTCAAAAAAAATCAGTTTGATCTGATATAAGGTTTCTGGTCGTTGGTACGTCTCTATGAAAGGAATAATTTATACTCATTGTCTTTGAAAGCAAGAAGGCAGGTGAGCAAGCGCTGTTTGGGGTGCAACCAGAGCAGCATGCTCCATAGCGCTGGTAGCAGGGTCACCTCTAGGCAGAACTACTGCGAAATGCGGTTGTAAATGGCTCAGACACACCTAGCAGTGCAGTAGTTGTAAACAATGACCTCTAGTATTGAAAAGAAGGATAGCACGCATGATGAATGGGAAGCACATCAGTGAGAGCTACTCCAGAATGAGGACTTTAACATGTGAACGCTTTCCAATGCATTGTAGAATGATAAAAAAAACCCAAACCAACTTTTTCTCCGTAAAACTTGTCTGGTCGAGTATATCGCTCAAACTGCACGTCATCTTGGCACCTGTTTCTGGAAACGTTGAGATGGAAAGCACATCTCGTGAATTTGTGCACTGTTGCATGATTACCTCGTTTTCGAAAACTTGGTGCAAACACGGTGTCAGCGCTGAGCTCCTTTTCGCGAATGCTAGCTTTGTCCGTGACCTCATCCAAGTAAGGGATATAGTCATCGTCTTCCTGTGAAAGGAACAAAATGACTCATTGAAGACACGTCCCTTGAAGCGAGACTTATCAATTATGGTATTCTTTGCCCGAATCTGTTCAAGTCTAATAGAGACACTACTATTAGGCTGGAAAGACAGTAATGGTACATTTCGGTCGCAAAAATTATTCTCTCATATACTTCAAACAAAACCAGCAAACTAGTTGTGTTACACCATCGATAACTTGTCGTCCGTTCTTAAATGTCCTTCGACCGGAACAAAGCGAGCTAAGATTTGGAGATTACTTCATTTCTCATTTTGATGTCCTGACAGCTGGAGAAATTCCCGCTGCTCAAGGGAAGTACAGGTTCGAGGATGTGTTCATCTTTTCCGCATTCGGGTATGTGGAAGCGAACGAGAATTTGCAGAGCGTGATAGATGGTGAAGAATAACCCAATCGCTAGTCACTTAGTTCTTTGTTAATCCTCTTTGCAACGTGTGGTCTGACAATTGGTGCTGGAAATGCATTTTAACTCGCTGTTTTAATGCGTCTCCAAGATAGCAAACAAGTTTTACAGCTGTAGAAACCTATATTATGGTCACCATCGTACCCGGCACAACCCAGTCTTTTCTCCGCATAAGCTACCAAACGCACACCGTTTCACAAGAATGCTGAGTTATGGGCAAAAGTCGTGCCCCAGGCGGGAGTCGAACCCGCACCTCACGCTTTCCGGGCGAGTGCGCTATCCGTTACGCCACCAGGGCCGCTTTTACCCTCTCAGCTCATACCCATAACTCAGCATTCGTGTGATAACTTTCGAACGCGAACTGCAGTAAAACAGCAGTTATCATCATAAAACAACTTCAAAATTGTAAAGCCTTCGGCCTCGCGGTTCATGCCGATATCTAACGATTACGGCTGACCGGCTCACCAAGTTAAACGTGTGAGTGCTGTAAGGCTACGGCATAAAAGCCGTTAAGCTGAGAGGGTAAAATAGGCCCTGGTGGCGTAACGGATAGCGCACTCGCCCGGAAAGCGTGAGGTGCGGGTTCGACTCCCGGGGTACGACTTTTGCCCATAACTCAGCATTCTTGTGATAACTTTCGAATGCGAACTGCGGCGTAAAACAGCAGTTATCATCATAAACAGCACACCGCGTCTTTTTTTCGCGATCACGTCATACCAAGCCACTACCTTGACGGATCGCTTGCTTGTCGAACTGCTGGAAAAGACGGTGAAGGTGAGAATACCACGCTTATTCCCGCTAACTAGGTTGTCGAAGCCATTGAACCACCCGTCTTTATGTTTGAGGCTGCATACTGCCTTACATTCCGCATGGGGTTTGACAAAGATCTGCCCACATCTGATAGTGTGCCTAAACCCATCGACATCAGACCTCACATCATCTTCAGCATATTCTCCTTTTTTGAAATACATGAGACAGAGCAGTGGGCACTCCGCCAAACATCCCTCTTCTGAACCTTCCACTTATGAACTCAAAATCCGTTGGAGCCGAACGGATATACTACCCGTGTCCCATAGATGCGGTGGGGGGGGGGCTGCGCGATTCTTCTCAAATTGGCGTAGGATGCGCTTCCCGTGGGATACACTACTGTCACTCTGTTTTTTGTTCGGCAGATATGGTAACAATCTCCCTAGAGTTCAAACATAGCCTCAAAAGCGCAGCTGCCGTCACGTTCAACTGAAATGCGCTGTCACGCCTACTACATCACCTGGATGATGGCTCTAAATAGGGTTGGCATGGCGGTGCCATGTCGGTTCAATATGTCATCATTCGTGGAGGCATATTGGTCTTGAAAGGCAGTTGGCACGATAAATCGCTATACAGATGTAGGATTTATACGACTGGCTTAACAGAATTCCGTGACCTCGGACAGGCGCTCCGTGGCGCCTTTTCCAAGGAGGGTACCCCTATAACGCCCTATCGAGCAACAACATTCCGTCCCAAACGCCTTCCTCGCCCGCCCGCCCACAAACGGACGACCGTTTCTGACGCTCGTATTCATTCATTTGCTGAGCAAATTATGAAGCAAAGGGATTGGTATGAAGCGGCGGTGATGCTGCATGCATATATGGGTACACATATGCAGCCGTATCTTCGGTAGCGGTGATTGGCAAGATGCGTACGGGAAACTCGTCCGAAATCGATTTTCAAGTCACTGAGAACGGAGGCTTTTTCTTCGCCGGATTTTGACCGTTCCGTTCTTTCGCCATTTCCCCACTACATAGCGCCCTACTAGCATTTTAGGCCGAGTGGGAAACCATCGTGCCAACTGCCTTTAATGGACCATGTTGAAGCGAGTGTCTGGAATAGCTCTGTAGAGCTTCCCTTCCCCGAGCTCAACTTTGCCAGTGGCTGGAAAAACTGCTGAGAACACGCAGGCGAACGTGTACCTGTAATTTCTTTCCAGTCTAGTTATACAAGAAAGAATACGTATTCTGAGAACTTACGAAGCTGTCACTTCCATAAAGGGACAACGTTTCGTCTTCAAAATACACTGAAAAAGTCGCTAGAGTTTACATTTTATAGAAATTATGGAACTGTGATGAACGCTTAGGACTGTGTGAAACGCCACATGAGTCACTGAAAGCATGCAAACAAGTGCTCAAGTTCAGCGCAACGACAGGATGAAACCCCTTTCTCGAATTATTGGGAAAAGCAACATAACAGGTGGAAAGCTGGCGCCACAGAAGAGATCCACTTCAGTTGCCAATTAACAGCGGTCTTGTCGCAGTTGGGCACCCTTACGAAGCCTGCTGCCAGCAACTAGAAGGTTAATTAGAAGGTTACCCATACGGACACTGGTTTAATAGATTTGGGTAATAGACCGTTGGACTACGGTGATCACGATTTCCCAGTTTTCGAGCTGGAGTGCTACATTTTTCGTTTCCGCCATTTGTTCGTTTTTTGAAAATATCGTAGAACATTTGTTAGTGTTAATTGGACGAGAAACCGCTGTGAACAAGGTGAACCACGGAATGACTTCTGCCTAATCCTAGAGCAAGGGGTACCCGATGTGTGTGACTACTCCCTGGGCAGAGAATGCGAAGTCGGTGTCATACCAAGGAATTTGCGAACACTTTTGTTAGCATTACCCCTGTCCGTGAAGCGCCCCACACTCTCACTCGAACAAAACATACATGAGAGTATTCAGGAAGAGAGTTTCACGTTGAGAGTCTAATGGTAGGCTAATGGTAAAGGCGCAGGTTCCTTGGTATCGGTGTTGGGAACAGAAGTATACTCTCACGTGTGATTTGCTCAAAAAAAATAGAGGAAACAGTCAAAACGCTCGTGGCTT